GAATCCCACATTAAGGTCCCGGGAATAAAGGAAACGATCACCAACTAAAGAAGCTCTTGATTGTTAAACAAATTCCCCTTGTCAGCATCCTAACCCTGTCACTCCCAAGCACTAATTAGAAATTCTCCCCACTGTCTGCCTTGCAGATCTTATGATATTAGTTTGGAGAATTTGGTATTAGATCGACTGATAATCCCCTGACCTTCTCTTTTCCATATTCTCACTACTTATCTGCTTGATATTGTATTGATATTGTAAGGAGAAATTCTGTCTTGATCACTGATTGGAGTTAAAGGGTTAAGGTAATGTATAGAGAACAGTATGGAGAATATGCATACTGATGTTAGGGTGTAAAGATCCTTAGGTAATGTATAGAGAACAGTATGGAGAATATGCATACTGATGTTAGGGTGAAAAGGTCCTTAGGTAATGTATAGAGAACAGTATGGAGAATATGCATATTGATGTTAGGGTGAAAAGGTCCTTAGGTAATGTATAGAGAACAGTATGGGGAATATGCATACTGATGTTAGGGTGAAAAGGTCCTTAGGTAATGTATAGAGAACAGTATGGAGAATATGCATACTGATGTTAGGGTGTAAAGATCCTTAGGTAATGTATAGAGAACAGTATGGAGAATATGCATACTGACGTTATGGTGTAAAGATGCTTAGGTAATGTATAGAGAATAGTATGGAGAATATGCATACTGATGTTAGGGTGAAAAGATCCTTAGGTAATGTATAGAGAACAGTATGGAGAATATGCACATATACTAATGTTAGGGTGTAAAGGTTTATTAAAAAAAAAATGCCCTCCTCCCCTCTCCCCATGTTAAACTTCAAGTTTCCACAATACTTCAAAAAGATTATATTTTGCAGAGTGTTCATAACACCAGTACAGAGGTTGGGAGAAAAGTAATGGCTGGCATTGTGGCTACTATCCAAAAGGATTTTCTTTTTAACAAGCCCCCCACCTCCCCCTTCGATAAACCCTCTTCTTCTATAAGCCTCTGGTCTGGAAGCTGCTGAATTTAATAACCGTCCCTCATTAGGAGACTTATAATTATTAGAGGATTAAAGGTACTGTTCTTACCTCAGCTGACAAATTCTCCAATGTCGCACCAATGGAAAATGGAGCAGTAGGGTTGGTAACCTGACACAAAGAAGGACAATGACTATGTCAAGAACTTAAGATTATCAGGAGGAAACTAGGGATATGTTCAAGAATGCATCTTTTGGTGTCAAGCCCACTCCATCACCTAGTGCCGAACTTGCAAATTTTTCAGCCATATCCAAGACCTCTCAAGAAACATGGGTAATGTTTCGTGGGGTCAAAAGGCCATGCCTCAAATTGTGATTGGGGGAATTCAATCCAATTTAATTCATTTCGTCTATTCTGTTTTATCTAAAATCAATTAAAAGTGATGTAGCATGAAGTGAAATTGCAACTTTACTTCAAAAACTGGAACTATTAACCAAACCCTTCACAGAAGCAAAAGAATCAAATTGATGTCTATCTGAATGTACAAGTACTTACAGAATCTTCATATCGGATATGAATATTGCGAACAGAGACCTGGAGAGGAAAAAAAAAAGTAACCATCTTTCAGTCTAAAAGACATAAATTATTAAATGAAAACTATTCTGAAAGGATCTTTTTTTTTCCCTTAAATGTGGAGTGAAACTGGCAACTGGAATTGATCAATACATGTGGATTTCTTATTAAACTCACCTGAAGGTTTTTGACAATCTGCATGGCTAACTTCTCTACAAAACTGTCTGACTTTTCATCTTTTTGCTGCCCTGCAAAGTAAATGAAGAGAAAATCATGATTTACTTCAATTACAGACTAATTCCTATAATTAAATAAGGACTACTAGTCAAGGTGACAGTCAGTCAAAGCTGCAGTAATTTACATAACAAAGATAATACCTGCCTCTGTGCAGGGCTCTAAGCCAATTTTTTTTTCTTATTCTTTTTTTTAAAGTCACCTTCATGAACAACAAAACCTCTGACCATGCACCTTATGGTTGGAGTAAGCAGTATGGCTGGCATTCCTTTTGGGAGACTCACTCAACATCTCCAAGCTAAATACTCCACCAAACTTCCACTGAAAATTTGTTTGCCAAAATTTTTCTAGTTTCCATGGCTATCAAAACAAATGCAGCTTGAAGCACAAACTAAGCCAGATGTATGAGCAGATAGATGGTCAGATGACAAGAAAAAAGTAACAAAATTAAAAGTTATCAACCCGAAAGTGATCTGTAAACAGACAGGTGGGCAATTTGTTTAGAGACATTACAGATAGATTACAAGGTTATACCATTCTGTTTTTTCTTTTCCTCTTCAATCTGCTGAGCCAGCTCCACTGCTTCCAGCTGTCTTTGCTTTCTTTCCTGTTTGGCTTTTTCCTCTTTCTCAGCATTGTACTTAACATCTGCAACAAACACATCACCATCAACCCTTAATTAAACTCCCATAAGTGACTAAGACAGAATTTCTCCTGACTATATAAATACAATATCAAGCAAACAAGTGAAGAGAATAGAGAAAAACATCAATTAGTAGATTATTAGTGGATTCAATACCAAGTTCTCTGAGCTGCCATTGTAAGAATTGTATGGCAGACAGTAAGGAGAATTACTAAATTATGAGATCTTGGGAGTGAAAGGGTTAACAATTACAGCTGCAACAACTATTGTCAGTACCACGGGTGGTACAGGCAGATAGCTGGAGAGTTCACCATCACACAAAGACAAAAGTTAATGGTCCATTTCCAAGGCACTTTATAACTACCCAATGGATGTCTGTGGCATTCAGTTGAAAATTCATGTCTACAGACTTAAATTTTGATGATCCCTTAAAAAGGATCCCAGTCAAACACACATCTGTTTTTGTCTACATATGGGCAACTAGAATCCTTTGAGATTGCTGGTTAACACGCAGGCTGGTGCACCACACATCTCTACTTACAGGTGTAGCGATACTTATAACACGGTTAGTGTGGGAACAAGCGTGCAAAAAATAAAGTAATGAAAATTACCATGACAATGTTTAAGACCATGATAATGATAATAATTATAGTTGAAATGTCTAAGATTAAGTTAATGATGATGAAGACACTTAAGGTGATGACAATGATAATGACAAAGACAAAAACAGAGACAGACTGACAATGGCAATGACAAAGGCAACAGCAATGGCAAGGGCAATGGCAAAGCCAGTGGCAACTGTGAAGCTAAAGCCAATTCCAATGCCAATGCCAATACCAATTGCAATGGCAATGGCAAAAGCAATTATAGCAAAGCCAATGGCAATGACAAAGCCAATGCCAATTCCAATGCAGTGCCATTACCAATGGCAGTACCAACGTCAACAGTAGCGGCAAAGCCAATGACAATTCCAACGCCAATACCAATGCCAATGCCAATGCAAAGGACAATGGCCATCACGGCCATGGCCATGGAAATGGCAAAGCAAATGCCAATTTCAATGCCACTGGCAACAGCAATGATAATGATATGATTGTAAGAATGATTAGCACACTGGAACTACCACTAAAATACCAGATGATTGTGTTGAGGGTATTTCTGTAGTGAAAACAGTTCTCACCAGTATTTGGTCTGACAAGTAAGTAGAGTCCATCTACTTGAGCAACAAAAGGTTTGGAGTACAAATTCTTCCAGGGTATCTTCAGCACCAGTTTACCTGTGTAAAAAGAATGAGAACACAAACCCACACATACAAGGTAAATAATAAATCTTAAATCAATTCTCCCAAATAACATAAACCCTCTAACTGCTGAGGGCAACTAGCATCTAATTTCTCACTCAGGTCTCACCCCTGAGTGAACACTGGACTCATAAGAACCACAGAAATCATCACATTTTTAAACACTCTTGACTTTTTGCAGAATTCTCCTTGTCACCGCCATAGGAAATGTATAGAGATCAGTATGGAGAATATAAATGCTGATGTTAGGATGCAAAAAAAGTTAATCAACTGTTGAAAGACTAAGATATTTGATATTTTGATATTTAATATTTTGATATTTTCCTACCTAAATGGCCACGTAGAACTTTGACTGGCAAATCTAGGTCATCCTGGTAACAAAAGAAATCCATTGTCAAATACCCCATATATTTTTGATATATTTTATCACACTGAACAGGTGCAAGGTTTTCATTAAGTTCCAGCCACCAGCTTATAATTGGACACCTTAATTTCTGAACCACCCAATTTTCATAAAATAATGTCTGTAAGTGTTGAACAGTAAACTGTTAAGAAAAATAGATACAAGTCACAACTGTTAAAAATTTCATGAACAGACAACTTTATTAAAAGCCATTTCTGCATTCCACAAAAACATATAGCAGTCTGGTTGAGCTATCTTTCAATCTGTACCTGACATGTGTTTAACTAGCCATCCAAACACTACATTGCTTTGCTTTTTTTTAAATCAAGAGCCTCTAGATTTAAAAAAAATTAAATACTTTGGAGGACATCCACCACACAGTAATCTCGTGCATGGGAAATTAACATCTCCTACCCCTAAACCTGCAGGAGACAGGGCCTATGGTTCATTTGTCCTTATCCGAGAAGACTAGAATATCTATCCATTTCTTGTTATAGAAAGGTAGCAAATTCTCCCGTTTTTTTCAGACCATGAGTATTGGTCCAGCCAGGACTCGAACCCTTGACCTCCCACACAACACCATCCGGCACTCTAGCCAACTGAGCTATATTCTCCGTGCCTAATCAAATTTTGTCCTCGGAAAGAGCAAATGCAAGTAAATAACTTGTAATAAATTTTCAAAATTGCTGTACGAGGTGGCATTTTCAAGTCAGAGAAATTGTTATGGGCTGGATGAGTTAGTTGCTTTGGACAAGCAACTTACATTATTTAGAATTAATAGTAACGATTATTATTATAATTATTATATCAACATTGTTTTGTATCCTGCAAATTTCTAACAGTGTTTAATTATACATGACATTTTAAAAGTATGAAAACATTTTAGTTCAGGTAAAGTCTGCCAAAAAGAAGGTAAACACAGACAGTTTTGATAATGATGAAAACATTAAAATCATATTTAAAAAATACAAAAATGCCTTGGAGAAAAAGTGAGATCTTAATTTTGTTTCAGTGGTTTTCGTGCCTCAGTGGAATGCCCTCCAAACTTTTGGAGCAGAACAGGTGAATGAACTGTCACCAAAGGTGGTATTAAGATTAATTTGAATTTCTTATGCCACTGAATTTGATAAACCCTACATGTATAATATCAACATTGTAGAACCAAAACATTACTGCCATAGAAACTGAAAAAAGTAGAATCAGTTCAAATTATAAAAATAGCTTGTGATACAAGCAAAGTGAGGTAACTCATAAGTTTAACTCAATGACTTCCACTTTTAAATAATAGAATTAATTCAAGGTTTGAATTGTAAAAATAAATTTGTGCTAAAATTATGATAATTTTATAAAAAATTAATAGGCTCAAAATATAAAATTTCACCGGAAAGAAGCTTTAATAGTGTCATAAAATAACCCTTATTTCCAATTTTTTTTAAGGAAAGAGGAAAATAAAAATACAGAATAATAATTATGTACATTGTTTTGTCAACGTGAAAAATATCTGAACTTACGAAATCGCTACATTTCGCCTTCACTTTAAACTTTATGTTGAGTAATTTTCCTTAAGTGCAATCGCGGTTGCTTTCCACGATCGCAAGAAACCAAGATAATAGGCACACAGGTTATCTTTATAAACGTCTGAATAAACAGACAAACCTAAACAGGTCTCGGTAAAATTTTATCAACACTGCAACTCACATAAATTTTCTGGAAAAAATCCAGAAATTCGTCGATCCTTAGCAATATTAAAAATGACGCCACGGTCCAGTTCAGAGACAATACAAAAATCCATAAACTCCAAATTGCCCCGTCGCGGTTAACATTTAAAATCACTGTACAAGTAACTTTTCTCCCACAATGTCGCTGAGCTTTCGTGTAATTTTAGGTAAAGCCGGAAATGCTGTATACACCCGACTACACCGAAAAAAAACCATGAAACATAACTTTCACTTACTAAGGCGCTTTCCTTAAGAATCAAATTTTCCAGTAGGACATCTCCTGCAGACGTAGACAACAATTTGTTTTTAGACGATGTGGTTGTCGAGGGTTTGAATAAAAAGCAAAGAGCAAAGAACTTGCAAAGCAAACAAATTCCAGCTACTAGTAGCTCTAATGCGACCCACCTCCCCAGATTCCGAGCCTCAGTTGCGAAGTATCGAGATTCTCCAAGTACTGGCCGGCGAATTTGTTCAAAAGATCGACGATATACGACTCAAACACCATGATTCTAATATGAGCTAAGTCATTTTCGGCCCTAAACAAGGGCTAATCATGAATTAATTTGATATCACACAGTTAGGCCATCGCTTCCAGTCAGAAAACACAAAGCACCAGGCACCGTGACGAGCCATGCGACTCGAACCTGAGCCCGCGGCAAGTATGACGTCACCATTCGCGCTTCATTTGAATTTTTGCCTCTCTGGCCCTCTTTATCTGGTTAGCTCGATCGTTATCTTCCAATACGAATATTTAAATGAATCAATACTACAGCATCTCCTCGCTTGTTTCCTAAAGAATGATATAAAATATGTCCAGTCTTTTTTGCAACCAATTGAAGCAGTTTTTTTGCGCATTTAGGTTACCAAAACAACACTACAGCTGTTTAAAAATACTCTTACCTTTACTAGCTTTAAAAAGAAACCTTTAAAAAAATGCAGTGACCCGTGTTTTCAATGTATGCATTGAAGTATACATAACAAAATTAAAAGTTTGGAGCTATCTTAATTCCGATTCCGCTCGGAAACTGTAAGTGCTCCCATAGCACGAGTTTCTGTTCATTGTTTGATTTGGTTAATAATCTTTCAAGTCACACTAGGTGGCTCGTCACGCGCTCTTAAGTGTAATTCAATATATTTCATAAAAAGCCCTTTGATCAGTATTTGGCAAGGACTCGTGCTCCTAAGAAAAGAAATTAGTAAAGGAAAGGAAGGAAAGGTTCAATCGATATCAACTCTTGCCAGATCCGACAATAATGTAAGTTTCATTTACCTGAGGCATTTCTTAATCTATTTGTGTGTCCCTAATTTCTTAAATCAATTTTTAGTTTCATGGTATAATACAATAATAAAGAAGGAGGCAACGTCGAGGGGCTAATGATCCAACAATTCCGCCCCAGTTTGAACAAACAAGTTATTTCTTATGTCTCCAAACTTTTCCCATCGGGAATCTTAGAAGATATATATGTATGTGCGGACGGTCATTATTTTCAACCCCAATAATGGCAAACAGCCGAAAACGTTTGGTTTAAACATTTTAATAATTTTTTTTCCTAATCTTTTCGCCTTGTATATAGAATTTACTTTATTAAGCGAACATTATGGACAAAGAAGGAGGCGTTCCCAAAGAAGTTTGGTGCGGTACCTGGTATTCATCAGTGGATTTGGTGCGGTCCAGCTAGCGGTGGACAAGCCCTGCTATAGCAACTAATAACTTTTAAGCATATTTTGACGTTTGGAGCAACTTTTTGGAAAGAGCTATAAACCTCGAGCAATTTTTGCCTTCCTAAGCATTTTTTAAGCAAAATAAAGGTTTAGAGCATATGTCACGCACGAAAAAGACAACGATTTCATAGAAAACTTCAAAGTTATGCGAATTTCTTGAATGCTTATCAACCTTTTAAAGTGCACCTAAACCCATTTGGCCGATGAAACCGGCATATTGAAAATATTTTCAAATTTAACCTATACTTTAACATTGAAAATTTCTGGCCTCTTTGAAAACTTGTCTCTGGACACGCCACTACGTACCAATCCTGCCGTTCGACAAGATAGCAGCTGAGATCGCACTTAGACCATGTTGAGTGTCCTCAAAGCTGTCGATAGCTTTTATCGTAAAATCCCTAATTGGGAGTTTTCCCCAGCATAAAAATGAATCCCTCTCTGCCGGATCAACGACGTTTTTATCTTTGATTTACATTCGCACCTGTGACTAGCTAGCTACCTGTGAGCATGTCCAATTTGTTAAAATAGTGATTAGTCATTAGAAATTAGAATAAATAAAGGTTGTTGTTGTTGTTGTTGTTGTTCAACCTCGTTCCTAGGGCACACTCTGTTGATAGTGACATAATTTACTCAATGATTTACCTACCTGCGTGTTCTAACACTGACTCTGAGAAACATATCTCTAAAGTTATTTTCTGCGGGAGAGAAAGTAGAGGCTCTGTCAGGGGTTTTAGGGACAAGGGATAAGGCCACATGTGCAAAGCAAGGGGTGAGCCTTGCACGCACGCATGCCACTTCTAGGAAATGCATGACAACGCGGCCAAAATGGAATCCCAGCTTCACTAGACCCAAGGCAGTTTGGGAATAGACGCGCAACTCCCAGAAATCACGGACGCCGCAGTGGCATGATAAGGGATAACTGAGATAGTTTTAGGGATACAAAAGATAGCTTTGATTTCTCAATTGTCACACATTTGGTCACTTTTTCCAAGGATTTGCGTCCCCGGCGACCGGTAACGAACAGTAACGGGTCATTTATCGGTTCAAATTCAAGCAAGATGGTTCAGATGTCCAAGATTTGCTCCCAGGCTCTTATATTCGGTCAACCGCTGACCTCGTGGCGTGCGTGTAACTCGGGCACTAAATGAAGCTACGGGTTGCATTTTTAAACAAGGCGACGAGAAACCGGCTATGAAATGGTCGTTTATGACAAGAATAGAAGGGGAATGAACTGTCTGAGAGAGTGCTGACAAAAAACACTGGTGATTGCGGGCAAGTCTATGGGGTCACTTTTCTTGAAAGTCAAACGAGCCCTGTTTTCAATGGTGTTTCTTCAAAGACTGCGAAAACATTTTCCTTAACAGAAAATGCTGTTCAATGCCTGGCAGGAACAGGGTTTCAGGGGCAAAGGGATGATAGTAAAGCTGAGTTGTATAAACCGACTTCAGTGTGCACAGAACTAAACACTGTATTCTTTTGTGAAACAGCTGTTGCCGGGAAAGTTGAGAATGATCACTAAGTTAAACATGGTGGCCTGTTGGCGTTCCGTAGAGAACCTTCAAAAGTTCTTGAACACTTTCGGTGTGCAGAAGGAGAAAGACCAAAAAAAAGTTTCATCCAACAGAAGCTATCGCCCAAATCAACGAAGTAAGCGATTTCATTGAGAAGTGTGAGGTAGAAGTAAGGCACGTGGCTGATGAACAAGCAAGTGGCAGGATCGATTCTTCAAGGTCCAGATGGTGTGTGCTTTGCACAAACAGCACGAGATATCAAGTTGACAATACAGACACTAGAACGAAATTTTTTCTACACTTCAAGAAATTTCACCACTTTTACTGGACAACCTTGACCTGAAAGCATTGACAACTTTAGTAGTTGAGAATCTGTTTTCCGAGATGAGACAAGGAAATTAAATGCAACTGGTCTTACAGTTCGCCCATCGCTTTTCCTCTGCGATGAGAGAATATCTCAAGCGCATTACGAAATACAGCTTCATATACTACACTAGTCCGTCTTCATACTATAACAAACAAGTAGGTTTCTTGCATGTCGCTTGATCAATTTCCCTCTATGCTAAAGCATGTCAGAAATGCCTTAGTAACAAGACAACAGTTGCATCGAATGAGAACGTGGAGGACAGAGAATTTGGGCAAAGTGTGCGACAACAAACTGTGCGAAGCATGACCGCTAAGGATTCTCCAGGAACGTTGCCTGTGAACTGTTATGAAACCAAAGCGGGGGATCCAAACCCAGTTGATTTTGCAAGACTCGCACAGGCAGAGGAAGCTGAGCTCGAGATTTTCTTTTGACCAATCCAGCGCGCCAGGAAGAGGTCTTAGTCTTAAGTTGTGAAAGTACCATTGTTTGTGTGTGAGGAAGAGTAGCTAGCCTCCAATGCAGCCATCACTTTTCAACTCATAGCTAAACAAGAATTGCCGGCCACTGCTAAAAAATAAACCTCATCATAACCACTCCTAGAACTTCATGTATTCATTTTTTACCTAAAATTCACAAACCTAACAACCGGGGAGTCGGCCCATTGTCTCGGCTAGCAGTTGCCGAAACTTATTTCCAGCTATTTAGACAAAATTATGGCTCCCATCGTCAAAACTTTACCATCATATACTAAAGACAGCCAACACGCTCTTCAAAGTTTTCACGACTTTAATTTCCTTGGCCAAGACAAATTTCTTTTCACTATGGACATTACATCTTCTTTATACCGTCATTCCTAATGGCGAAGGTCTTCTGGCCCTCAAACATTTTTTTGATCAACGCACTGTTAAGGAACCTGAACCTGAAACACTACTTCGCTCAGCTGAACTAATGCTCACACTCAATTGTTTTTCATTCGGGGACAACTTTTTCAAACAAACAAATGGCGTAGCCATGGGTACCAAAATGGGACCCACCTATGCCAATCTTTTTGTAGGTTTTGTCGAACATCAATTTTTCAGCCAATACAACGGCCCCAAACCTGAACTCTACGGTCGCTACATTAACGACTGTATCGGCGCTACGTCCTCTACTAGAGAGGAACTAACTCAATTCATAACCGCAGTCAATTCCTTTCACCCGGCTCTCAAATATACCTGGGAAATTTCCGATAACTCTTTATCCTTTTTAGACATCAAAGTTTCAATTGAAGGCAACGGTTTATGTACTAGTGTGTATTACAAACCTACAGATTCACATAGTTACTTGTTGTATTCATCTTCGCATCCATCTCATGTGAAGAATTCCATTCCCTTTTATCAGTTTCTAAGACTTCGTCGTTTATGTAGTGATGACTCTGATTTTTTTCACAAATCAGAGTCTATGTGCCAGTTTTTCGAAAAACGTGGTTACCCTGCTTCTGTCGTTAAAGCTGGTAACCACCGCGCCCATGAAT